ACCAGTGATGAGATTTCTCAATAGCGGTAATAAAATGCTTGCAGATATTTTCAGATTATACAGATTTTTAAGTCAGCTGCACAACAGGTTACCGCAGTTACTGTAAATGAATAGTACCTTTAGATTTGACATTAAAATCGAACATCACAATATTTTTTTAAAAAACCGAAAAGTGGGGGTGAAAATGGGGTACATTAGGTGAGCCGGGATGAGATTTTGTGCCGCCGGAGGTGGGCTGAGGTGGGAAAAGTAATGGACGAATGGAGGTGAGGTGAAAGTGAGAAATCGAAAAATGGGCGAAGTCTCGTAGTTACCTCCAAAACAACGAATAGCCTTCGCGGTCACCCTTCTAAAAATGATGCAAATTTAAGCGTTGTACCTACTTCATTCTGACTGCATTCTCTTCTGCAGTGCGGGTACCCACCAATGAACTCTAAAACAATGGTTGACCAGTTTGTGGAAACATCAGTCAGTCACTGCGATCTGTGGAAAACCATTCCAGAAGACAATGTCCTCACTTCGATTGCTCCCGGTACCAAGTTTATTACACGGTAAGTGCAACCTATGTAGCGTGAGTCGAAGGCAAGAAACTGCGATTGCGCGGGAGCGATCTTCAAAAAGTTGATTATATTAGACTTGCGTTAAGGGTAGTCATCTCTCCTGTTCCTGCTGAATTAAAATGGTATAACTCGTTGTGTTAGCGCAAATATTTTGTGCAATTGTCGTCCGTACAAAGCAAATTTCGCATGCGTCTAACTCCCTGAAAAATAAGGCGGAAACAATTCAGTGGTGTGCGGTCCGTTGCAAATTTCAGAGTTTCTGATATTCATGCGCAAGTTCAAGAAAGCCCAAACAGGTTGTAGTTAAGGTTCATCGTTATAATAATGCTTCACTGAACGCGAAGTCTTCAAGGATACCCGATAAGAACCTAGATGTAAAGCCCTGGGCAGCCAAGTTGGGGCAGTTTCTTCCAACAATTACTACGTGTCTGCTGTTAATAAATAATTATATATTTATTTTTTACTTTATTGCCGAAGGTGTCCGGCATCTTTTGAACTGTAGGTATCCATGTTTAGAACGTGCTTGAAATCTCAGTGAGCTGAAAACTAAGGCAGACCAGGAGAAAAATACCGCTAAACTCGTATGCAGTGACGGTTCTCCTCGCACTTAATATTTTTTTTTAAATTCCACTAAGGCCGTAGTGTTAGGATGATAAACCGTACTTGTCTACCATCCAATTCTACTAAGGGAGGTGCATGACAACAGTCGATTTCAGTCAAGCCTCAATGACCTTTGCAGTGCGTCGGCGAGCACAGCTAAAATTAGGCATGACCTTATTTCCAAGCTCGCCGCGCACCCGCAGAATGCCAGATAATGCCGTTTTTGTTAAAATCTCACTCCCAGAGCATTAAGCGTCAGTTTCAGGTTTTTAATCCATGTAGCAAGCCGAATACAGTGGGCTCAACCAACCTTCAACAGCCACCATAACTTTTTGTTGCAACAGCTTTGCTGTTTTTTTCTTCCACTCTTCTGGAAATCCCACCTCCCCGACTACGAGGCGGGTATTCCTTTGCACATGAAAATCAACTAACAGGACCTACAACTTATTCACTAAAACTAATAGTTTTAGGTTTCTTCAATCTGTGCGCTAGGCAACCACAATCTTCGGTAGGCCGTTTTTAACATACAAGTCTATGGGAGATGCCCCTTGTTGCAACGCTAAGCCGACCACTGATCCCGCAACATTTTGGTTCTCTCCCGTGGCAAATACCTTTGGGGTCACCCAACAGTTAGGAGAAAAGCTCACACAAAAATATGGATTGGGGAATTTATTAGAGCGGCAGATGTAAGCATCCCAAAACGGACTGCTACCTCTCCCCCTAAATCAATGCTCGGCTCGTCACTGAGCGATCAAAAGAGTCTTATTTTAGTATTTTTGGATTTGCGATAAAAAGTTACATGCCATAAGTCCAAATATAAGAACAGAACAACGCCTACAAATATTTGCCAATTGTTTTACAAAAGTGCCCCAACTTGGCTGCCCAGGGCTGTAACATATCGTTGCCGTTGCATGGCAGTGCGTAAAAATTTACTGTCAACTATCATTCTAACTTTCTAAGCAAAATCGTCAGTTGTAGTTCGTCGTGTCACAGCTGCCGTAGGGATAGTGAACATATGCAGTATAGCATAAAACACATACATAGTACAGTATGTAGGTTAATACATTTATCCTCATCGCGAACCATATGCATAGTATAGCATAGAATACATACATAGTTCAGTGTGTAGGTTAATACTTTTATCTTCAATAACCTTACTCGTTTCTCTCTTGTCCACTTACCAAAATACAGATGCTGAAGCGTATGCTTAGGTTTATTAGGCCCGTAAGTGCCAACGAATTTCGTGTCACCTCCTTTCAGTTATAAATTATACAGATACAGGTACATGGTGGCAAGCGCATGGTGGATTCATTCTTCTTTATTTTGTGCAGTGCAGTCGGGGCACGTTTGATTGCAGCCCGCCGGCCTGGGCGCGCTGTGAACTGGAGACTAAATGCAGCTGTTGTTGGACAACATACACCACAGCTATGTGCCAGTACGAACTGTACTCGATGCATCGTTTGTGGAATACTTCTTGTACACCCCTGTACGACGAAATGGGTTTACGGGAGACGATCGAGGCCGCAGATTTATCCGAGCAAATTTATGGAATGACTGCCGAACGCCTTCCCACTTATCAAATGACAGGTATCTGTCCCGTTGTACATGGCCTTCCATAAACACGAATTTGAGGAACGAAATCGATGCCTGGCAGATTGCGCAGACAACGCTTCTCTGTTTAATCTCATGCTGGAGAATTACGCGCATTGGGCGTTTTCCAGTTGCACAGTCATCGTTGATTTTTTACTAATGGATTTTTTTATCCGCAAACCGACTAGCCGGCTTCCAATTTTTCATCCTTTTGCTTCGCGCGATTAATGTGAATGCCGACTTTACCATTAAATTTCTGTTAGATTACCTATTCTAATTGTTTGCCCTTCTTGACAGGACGACAGTACTGTAACGGATTCCATGAACTTGATAATCCATCCCTGTTGTGGGTCACCGCTGATGTTAATTCTCGAAAAGGACGAGTGCCTGCAAAAAGTGCTCTGTGGAAATCGTCGGGAAGCGACCGCAGCGTTAGCATGGGACGAAAAAGCCACCATTGGTTCCTGGACGGGTCCTCTCCGCGACTCCTGGGATAGGCTGCACTCGTGGCCAAAATTTCTTCTAAACAGGTCGAGCACAGAAAGAAGTAGTGCGACTGTCCGAGTTGTGGTATACAGTGATGGCGTAAAAATATCGTGCAAGTCCGGGCGTTGTACATTTCCGCTCTGTAAGATTCTACCATCTTTTGGCACGCTTTTTTATGTTAAGCAATTATTTTGCCATGTGCTGTGGCACTGCTTCCTGATTTTTCAGACTGATACTATTTCCTTCAAAATGCTTCTTTTACAGATACGGTATTACAACTAAAAATTCCTTTTTATGCTCGCACTCGTCCGTGATTTATTTAGAATGAGTTTTCTTGTGTACCTGTTCAGGCGAAGTCAGTGAGTTTGACCAGTTCTGGTGTGATCGACTTGATTTTCGCACAAAATGTTTCTACACATCATTCTTACTTTTGATTGAGAAAACAAAGAGATAGTGTGAGCTGGATTCGGCACAAGAAATCTGAGTAATGTGAGATTTTCGCTGAGTTTCCGCAGCAGATTCTCAATCAAGCTGCGACAATAGAAGGCTGCCATTTGTTCACCCACCGGAAGCAGATGGAATTTTTTTTCAGTTTACATATTAATTTTGCTTTTAGGAAGCGTTTACACAAATTTTCTAGAAAATGCGAATAAAATGACTTTTTTCGTTTCTTTAATTTACAGTCTCTCTTTAGTCTATCTTTTCGTCTCTTATAATCTGTTTATTTTTGTCTCTTCCGCCTGCGCTGCTGCGGCACCCGAAACGAAGTAGACTTTATATGGGACGAGGCGACAGTATCCACGCGAAGTGACGCAGGTAACGTCCCAGGCCAAGCACATGCCGCGTTTCCTGGCAACCGTATTGCATCCGTCTGGGCAGCGACCGGAAGTATGAAACGTACCACGCGGTTCCCGTTCTGCTGGAACGCCCGCTGAAACCAACGATCGGCACACAATGCTGTTAAGCCCACCGTGTCGAGGATGACGTCCAGCGGAAAATTAGCATGGCAGTCCGTGGTGGCCATATATATCTACGGGCTTGTGACATTTCGCGGATTGATGTGCTTCGCAAATGACAGCACCTGACCTGAGCCCAACCGATATCTTCAGGGTGTCGTCGTCCAGGAGGTTGCCGATGTGGGCGGAAGGCAAAGCATTCAACCAAATACTAGCTTCCGGTTTTGATTGTGCGAGGAATCTGTCCCTGTTGATTTCATCGTCATGAAAGATCTCAAGCAACATGGCACGGTAAGTCCCATGGTCGATTGTGTAACAGCCGATGACTCAGTTTCACCACGAGTACTTTTACCCTCGCATAGAATAAAACAGTATTTCAGACTGTAGAACAGTTTAAAATATATTAGAACAGTATTTTCCACTTGTACAATAGCGCCCAGAATTGATCAACCTTCAGTGTCGTTTTTTTCCTGCCGGAAATATGAGAGGCTTTCGAATTTATTTCATTCAAGCGAAAGTTTTATTTTGCGCTTAAGTATATCAAAATACACTGAGTTAATTCACTGCATCGAGTGTTCTTATATTAGGTGCTTCATGAGTGTGCAGTAACAAGCGGCTCGAGAACCTTTGCAGTGGCGTATGCTGTATGCGTTTGAAATACATTTAATTATACCAAAAATTTATTTTTTTTTCCTGTAGCATAGTGTATTTGAATGCTCATTTCTGTGTTTTTTGCAGACCGCGCACAGTGACATAGAAAGAAACTACCGTATACTCACTTTTCCGCGATAACATTTTAGACGTCCGAATGTGTATTTTTTTCAGTTGCAAAGAAAATAGACAGAGTTCGATGAATAACGTGCTAACGTGATGAAAATGCAAATCTAAATCTGTCACGTACATAAATCAAACGAGTATCAATGGCTCTTGGGAAGCTTGGGTGCTCCTTTCTGAAAGAAGTTGACATATTTTTCGCACTGAAATTCGCATCCCAACAGGCTTGTTAGGCCCTTTCCTATTCCGTAAAATTTGGTGCACTTCTGCAACTTTTCGAAGTTTTCGTCATAACTGGTCCCGTTTGTTACTGGAATATTACGCCACAATCCCAGATGATACACATCAGCCGCCCAGGAAACTTTGCTCTCATCGGTGGTGCCCGGTCCCCCACGAATATGCTTCTCAACGCAGTCGAGGTCCGTTCGTTCTTTCAAAATCATGAAGGGATCGCCGAAGCACCAGCTTTCGCTTGTTACCCAGTCTGGGCAGTATTGTTTGCCTACAAACGGATTGTCAAATGTCAATAAAGCACGAGTAGTTTTTTGTCAATAATGCCGGGTTCTGTTGATATGCGTCACTTTAAAATAATAGAAGCGCTGTACATACAGATACAGACGATACAGTTTGGCTGCACCAAAAATCGAAATACATTAACATTGCAAAACAAACCGTCATAGTGCTGTTGCTTAACCGTTGATCCGCTATGGATTTCTGTCAAATTCTTATAGCTGTGGTGTTATTTTCTTAGACTAGGAGGTTTTTTAATCCGGCTTAGCAACATTTTTAGATATTATGCATGACTGCAACTTCAGTTAGTAAAATTACTATAACTGCCGGACTTCTACACAACTGAATTACCAACCAAATATACTTGGTTCCGCCTTTCAAACTGGCTTAGCATAGCGAAAATGAAAAAGAATGGGTAAACAAGCTGTCTGTTAAACTTGCGTCCGGCGCATAAGATGAACGGCACAAGACGCATTAGTTTGTTTTTTTTGTAGAACATTTGCTTCGACCGGATCCGGATGGCTTTACTGTATGCACTGCAGTATTTCATTAAGCTAATCTGAGAGCTAACACTTACCAGCTGGCAGCTGCCCAACTAAACATCACAGTTTTGGAAACTTTAACGAAAAACGAATAAGAAAATTCAGAGCGCATGCTTGTACAAGCTTGTCGCGTAATTTCCCACGGCAAGGCACAGATAACATGTGTTAGAGCCATGAACGAGTTACAAAACGTTTTATTCACCACATTGACAAATTTATGGCAGTTAACGTTCAATCTCACGGTAACTACTATGATACGTAAAACTAAACAAGGTTAACAAAGGAACAAGACAAATATGTAGGAACCGGTTAAAAATTAAATGCCGTTGCCGAATATACAATCAGAGAATTTCGTTTTAAGATGTTAGATAACGCGGGATCCTTTCCAAACTAAAACTAGGGAGAAAAGATTTCGAAATACCCTTTGCTTACGCGGCCACTATCCTCCAATTTCTACCTCTGTCTGATCACAAGTCAGAATCACTATTAACTGATTCTGGCATTCAAAACAGTTCACGTTCTGGCGTATATGAATTATATACGAAAGATCAGCTTTCCTGCGGAACTTTTGCGGCAGAAGTTAGCCGTGGATTATGGTAATCCATTTACATATAGGATATTTTGTGAATAAAATGCAACTTTAACGCTTATTGAATAAATACTTGCCGGAGACGTGGCATGTCGGGCACGGCGTTGTCGTTGTTGGTGCGGTGGTAGTGGTGGTTGTTGCTGGAGTCCGGTTAAGTACGGCACCCCATCTTTCCATAATACGACTTCCGAACACGCTCTGATGGACGATGAACAGAACCAGACAAGGCATGTACTTCGGCACGATCATGGTGGATATTAAGGTTGAACAAAGTAACACAGTGTGAAAACTTGCAAACTGGACAACATGTAGTCGATAAACGATCTTTTTGCCTGTTTTTATAAGTCACCCCTCACCTACGACGTTCACCCGTTTACAAGCTTTTTGCAGATTCAGCTAACAATTCAAAGAATCTTGAGAGTGGCCAGGCAAAATGGACCTGTTTATGAATACTCCGCGAATTAAACACCTGGAGAACTTCATTTTTATTCAGCATGGTACCGGCTATTCTCGCTATGACGGCGCGTGAGTAACAGCATCCAGGAATTTCAACCCGGCCAAACATCCAAGCAAGTCGAAATTATACTCAGCTTTCGATATAAAACACTTAGAAACACTTGTGGCAGCACCCGTACCACTCACAACCGATCACGCACTGCTTACTCAGCGGTTTCATACTTATGGGCTGGAGTATATTTTCGTGCATCGACTTAATATGTCAGCTGGCGAAATAAACAAATAATAAAGATTAAGGAAGTCTTGTTCTTGTAATCAGCACTTCGACATTTCTCAGCCACGGACTGGTTTTACTGAAATTCTTAAAAAATTCAAACGATCAGTCAGCAAAAGGGTCGAAGAAATAGAGGTGCTCAGTGCTCACCCGGGCAGTGCTGCAGTGGACCTGGTACACATAGAAGTCGGAATTCCATTAATTTTATTGGCCAACAAACAAAAGAAACTTGCTACTAATAAAATAAACAATATATATCCAGAAGAAAATAGTAATGTTAGTTCTGAAATCACTGAAATGTTGCCCGATACTGAGCAACCCGTAGGGATACGACTACGAGGATAGGCTAGCATTCGTGATTACCAAAAAAACAAGCGAGAATTCAGGATAACCTTGCCTGGCTCGTGCAACACGAGAAACCAACACGGGCCGGCAGTCGCAAGCGCCATCGTTTAGAATGTTAAAAATTGTGATGATCAGCCGTTGAATACGGTCTGAATCCGTCTGATATTTGCATCTACAGTAATATCTGTGTAACTGCCAGAGTTCTTTTGATTTTGTCTGCAGTTCTTGAAACTATTATTCGGATAATATCGAGTTTTGATTTGCTGATTGCAAAGTAAGCACCTTTAAAAATATAAAGCATGGAACTCGCATCTGCCAATGAACATTCGTCTGGTTTCATGGCTTATAAGAAGAATATCTGCGAAGAAGTACTAATGTCCTGTTTATCAAGTTTGCATAATAATCTGTAGCAAATTCTTGCAGTAAAATCGTGCGTTCGCTTCGCGCGAAAGATGACTTCGTGATTAAATTTTCTTAATACATCTTACACAGCCGCACCGCGTTTTACTGTTAAGTTTACTTTGGGTGCAATTAAAGCAGAGTAATTATCTATTGTCTTTATGAAATTCTAGCGATTCTTGCAGTAAAATTGGACGAGTAAATCAGTTCTGCGCTTCGCGCGATTACTAACATTTTAATGCTGTTCGGAAAGTAATAGCATTTTCTCTGCCCGTCTGCATTTGTCTTCGTATGCCGGTACCAGCAAATAACGGAAAAATTAATCCGTAGTACGGATTCGGCCTCTTGCAAAGCTGAAATTCGCATCATGCGCTCACGTAAAATTTGATAATTTCATGTTCTGCCAGTCAGCACGCTCTTGGTGTATGATATCTTTCTAGGTCTAAGCAGGGCGCAATCCGAGGGAAACCGAGAAACGGCTGAAAAAGGCGCCGATGGGGGAATCGAACCCCGGCTACGTCGTTAGATCCGCGTAGGCAGTACCACTGCACCACGGCGCAATACGTTGAAATCCTTTGAAAGATTTTGTCGCTGTACGTGAGCCGCTTCTCCGCTCACATAGGAAATGTTTATTTAAAATTATTATGCAAACCGAAATACAGTCTTTTCCAAGAACTGAGCCTTCCATACAAGTTCCTTTATTCCAGCAGATTTTACCGAATCAATTAAGTATGGGCTGTGCGTTTTTCACGGACTCAGCTATGGAGGATCTCCAGAACCGGCAGTAAAAGGGGAGCTCATCATGAATTTCATTCAAATTTTTGCGGCAGGTTCATTGAACCGTGACAGGTTCTTATATGCGGCATACGACTAGAATCAGTCGTAGCATATATGAAACTGTAGTTTCGGTTTTTGGTCTTCGATATCCATGTGTAAACAAAAGTAAATTTTGGCGCCCGTAGAGTACGGAAGGGTCCGGCCGGTTGAAGGAAGCGGTAGGGCCTAACAGTCATGTGACATGAGTCGAGTAACGATGCGTGAAACTTGTAGATGGCGTTGTTAACTCGGCAGGGCCTGAAAACTTGTGCTCACATAGCACAAAACGTGCTGACATAAAGGGCCATGTGCTCACCTAAACTGGAACTTGTGCTTAAAAATTACCAATACTCCCCTCTTCTGTGTAATTAAGCAGCTTCCAGTCATTTTATTTTAAAATTAAAAAACGCAAACAAAATACGCTTTGAAGGACAACCTAAACGCCAATTCGAACACATTCGTATCGCCTTCTCCTTCAATGTGCACTGTGCAGATGTGCTGTGGTAGTGCAACCTCATTTCTTACGCAAATTGCGCTGCATCCAGATATGCGCGTCTGTGCACTTGTTCCGCAGTTACATATTACAATGCTTCTTCCTGCTTACGAAGCTCTAGATTTATGCGCAGGTAGAAACTAGGAACTGAGTGTTCACGTGGCCGCATATCATAGTTATTAGCAAGATAAACCATTACAGCAGCAAATCTGCCTGAATTTTCCTAACGAAGCAATGCTACGCTGCTTATGAAAATATGAAGGCATGTTCACATATATTTACCTGCCCCCATTCGCTTGCACACTACTACGTAGTTCGCTTGCACATTCGCTTGCACACTACCTTTCAAATATATCAAAGTTTACCATAGATTTATATAATGAATAAAAGTTTCTTGCACGTTCCTTTCTTTTTACAACTTACGCAACATTCCGGCTTATAGACGAGCCTTTGCTTCCTGTGAGTTGTACGAGTAAGTACACAGCGCAAGCCGGCTTGGAGATGTCTGTAATTTTAATTAATATAAACTATGTTTTCCCCGAGAATCAATCCTGGTAATTCTCGAGAATGACCTTTTCGTCTAGGAATACATACATTGCTGAAAACTTTCTGTTACAGTTGCGTTTGTTTTCATTCCCTTTCCAAATCATTTTTTTTAAAAAGACCGTAAAGGCATCTTCTGGACCAGCCGCTGTCATTTCAGACTTCAGAGTGTTCTAACGCTACTTCACGGAGTATATGTTGACTGCTGCACTTCATAAACTTTAGTTCGTGGATATTCTGTCGCCTTGATAAATATAGTTTGCTACACTGCTCATTTTCAAATTCTGTCATTACTGAAAACAGAAGCGAACATCGTTGCAGTCTTTTCGTAACAGGGCCAAGAAAGAAAAGATAAATGATAAATCCAGAGTCCTCATGAACCTACCACAAACTTTCAATAAATCTAACAAACAAAAATACGGTTTTGATAGATAACCTATTTTGATTGAATTTCTAACGGTTTCTGGGCAACAGCATCGTCAGCTTCGCGCTCCGCGCGACGTCCCCATTCTGATCCAAAGAAAATGCTTATTATCATTTACGAGGTATATAGGTAATATGCAACTGATGCACGCATGCACCAATAAAAACCAACAGTAGATTGGCTGCTAGATGTTCGATACTTTCACAATGCAAGCCAGTACGAAAATAATAAAGTAGTCAATACCCCCCTCTTTCCAAAAATAAAGCGTGCTCACATAGATTTTAAAGATTTCTGGCTCTGTTAAACTCGGCATCTTTTTTAGTTTACATTATGATTTATGTGCTCCTTCATTATGTAGGAGCACACTGGAATGTTCTCGTACATTATGTAGGCAGTAGGAGCACATTGCATCGGTTTATTGGTTCTTGGAGGAGAAAAACGGAACTGTAGTATCCAAACAAACGTAATCCAATATGCTCCTGCAATGTGCTCCTACATATGTAGGAGCACATTGCAATGTACTCCTACATTATGTAGAAACATTTTGTAGAAGCAATGTGCTCCTACATATGTAGGAGCACATTGCAAGTACTCCTGCATTATGTAGAAGCATATTGTAATGTCCTCCTACACATGTAGGAGCACATTGCAATGTGCTCCTACATATGTAAGAGGACATTGCAATATGCTTCTACATAATGTAGGAGTACATTGCAGGAGCATATTGTATGTGGAGATTATAAGGGGTAGGAATATAAAGTGCTGAATAGAGAATTTAATAATATAGTAAATTATATTGAAGGTGATTATATCAAAAGATGATATGTTTTGAAAGAAACTGATAATGAAGGGGTGAATGTTGTAATAGAGGGAAGGTTGTGTGGGTTTTTACTGTAGTCTGACATAAGTGTATTCGACTTATTGGTTGTTCATACTTCATAATTTAATGAAGTGTAACAGGAAGCGGAGTGTGTTGTGTGTTATGAGTTGTGGTGGGGGATGGTGATGGATTATTGTGGAAAATTCATGAAGGTTCGAGAAAGTTGATTGCTTAATGGAGCAGACTATGATGTTCTGATCTGATGGTTATGGACCTTTAGTAACAGGTGGTTTTTATATGGGAAGTAGGTTGCGATGTACATTAAAAAGTTGTTCGAGGAAATGTTAGGGTGATTCGGTTTGTTGACTGGATCTTTTTAGTTTGGTGGGTATATAAGGAATTCCGGAATAAGCAGAAATTGCGTGTGAGCTATTATGGATTCGAAGAAGTATGCAGTGAAGAAGATTTTTCTCCTGTTGATTATTTCGTGGTGGTCGGTTCAGATTTTGGAACAGTGCTGATTCAGGCTGCCGTGTTTTGTTTGACTTTGGTACGTCTTTTTAGCTTCAGTATAATTTAGTAAGTTTTCTTGAACAGAGATCTGCGTTAAATTTTAAGTATTATTATCCTTAATAAAATAATAGAAGGTGATTCTAATCGGAAGAAATATGCGCGAATACATGCATGAATATAGAAAAAAACGTAAAATCAAACTGAGGGTAATTGTAGTAGGAATATAATGAAGTAAGTATTGATGAGGTAAATAGGTTTATGAAGCGCTAATTATTTTGATTTGTAATAATGTGTTTTATGCGAACTGTAAAATTCGTGATTTGGAAAATTTAGATACCAGTGAGTCTGAAATCGTCATGAAAATCGGTTTTACAGATAGTGCTGCTTTATTAGAT